AATGATCAACTAGAGAACTCAGTGATTTAGAAGAGATTAAATTTAAGTTAAACAGGGATAAAAAACATGAAAAAACAACAAGGATAAACATGTTCTTTTAGGTCCCAAAAGTCAATTGTGTAAAGATAGGACAGAGACTTGCCAGTGTTTATCATGGAAAAGAGCCTTGAAGGGTATATTTGATCTCAACAGTGTAAAAGCTGCTAAAAACAAGTGAGTGCAGTCTAAAGGTACATTGAGGACCCACAGAATCTGTATTGTAAGTCTGAGTATTACCACAGTCTTTTCTACTTGTCATCATTCATTAACTAATATTCATTGCCCAGCTATACTGAGCTAGGCAGTTAGACCTTATCTAGAATTTTGTTTCCTTGTTGGATGCCAGATTATGAAGGACACTGACAGAATGAGGAGTATTCAGAGGAAACCAAACAGGATGATGAACAGCTGGAAGCAGTGTCGTAGGAACAGTCAGTCATTCATTCAGCAAGTATTTATTGAGTACCTAATGCAAGCCAAACAGTGTATACTTACATGAAGAAGATAGCAAATACCTTCCCTTCATGGATCTTTTATTCCACTAGGAGAGACAGTGGATAGATAATTTGATACATCAAAAATGGCCACAATTTCTTCTCAGCAGCTCTCATGAAGAGGTGGTGTATTCCTCACCTTTTATATTTAGGCTGGCCTTTTGACTTGTTTTGACCAATAGAATACAGCAGAAGTGACATTGTGTGAATTCAGAGGCTAGGCCTCAACAAGCATTGTAGCTTTAGCTGTTGACTTTCTGAGAACCCAGAGACCAGGTGAGGAAGGCCAGACTCACCTCCTGAAAGATGAAAGAGCAAGCGGAGGGAGGCCTAGCCATCCCAGCTGAGGTCCCAGTGAGGCCATCTGGGCCATCCAGCCCTAGTTGACCTGACACAGCTCAGAACCACCAACTAGTCCACAGAATAGTGAGAATAAAAAATGTGGTTTTTACCCACTAAGTTTTGGGGTAGTTATACCAAAAAGGGTGATATATAAAATGTCCCACGATGATAAGGACTTTTAATAAAGATAAGCAGAGTAGGGAAAATAGAGATTGGCAGCTGAAGAGGAGGCAGTTGCAGTGTCAATTTACAACCTTCTTAGATGTTCTCTGTAAGGAGATAATATTTGAACAGAAACCTGAGGGAATAAGTTATGCAAGGAAAAAAAAATGAAGAAAAGGTATCTCGGGCAGAAGGAAAGTCAAATGTGAAGGTCTTGAAGATGAGAACATACTATGCATTTCTGGAATTGTAAGGGGATGTGCTACAGTATAGTGAGCAAGGAGAAGAGTGGTAGGAAATAGGATTGGACAGGGTGCCCAGGGCCAAATGATGGAGCAGCTTGCAAGCTATGCTAAGAACTTTGGCTTTTATTTTTTAGATGTTATGGAAATGATATTATTTTATTTACAGTATTAGAAAGACTACTTTGGCAGCTATAGAGAAAATAGGGAGTCAACAGTGGAAGCAAAGAAATTAGTACGGAAAATTGTAACCCAAGAATATCGGTTGAGACTAGGTTTTTTGTAATTAAGGAGATGAAGAACGGTCTAATTCAGGAAAGCTGATGGATGAGGAGTGAGGAAAAATGAGGAAGGATTCCTAGGTTTTTGGTCAAAGCCTTAAGAAGAAGAAACCTTGCGATAGTGAGAAAATTAGAGGGGTTCTATGTAACATCTAATACTTAAAATGTTACATGTATACGTGAAGTCTCTCTTCTGCACCTTTGCGGGGGCAGGACTATGTTCACTGAGAAGAAACTATAAGCAGTGAGGATTGGAGATTGGAGTTCTATTAAGAAGGCTATTCTTATACTTGTAGCTACCTTAATTTCCCTTCACATAATATCAGTCAGCTAGTAATTATGAGTACCTACTGGAAGCAAGGCCCTGTTCTAGACCCTGAAGCTGCAGCAGTGTAAAAAGTGATGTTCAGGCAGAGAAATTCAGGTAATTTAAGATAGAAAACTGCTAGAGGGCAATTTGTTAGAGATGTCATAGAAGATATTTACTTATTCAGTAGTATGTAGAACCCTTCAAGACCCTTCCAACTCTAGGTTTCTGTGATTCTCTAATAATCTAATAAACTGAATCAGACTCAAAGTATTCTTCAGATCCATCTCTCTCTAATTGCTTTTTTTTTAAAGCTATATTGAGATGCAATTTATGTATCATATAATTCATCCCTTTATATTGTATAATTCAATAGTTTTTGGTGTACTTATAGATAAGTGCAGCTATGGCAATTTTGGAACATTTTTATCATCTCCAAAAGAAATCCCATATCCTTTCTTTATTAACCCCCATCCTTGTCTCCTCACTCTCAGTTCTGTTCCATTGATTTATATGTCTGTTCTTGTGCTAGTATCACACTGTCTCGATTTTTGCTTTTTAGTGTTTTAATTTTGTAAAGTGTGAGGCCTAATTTATACTTCTTTTGTAAGATTGTTTGGCTATTCTGGATCTCTTGCAATTCCATATGCATTTTAGAATTAGCTTGTCAATTTTTACAAGGTCAGCTGGAATTCTAAGAGATTGTGTTAAATCTGTAAGTTTACAGAGTATTGTTGCTCCATGGGTCATGTGATGTTTTACCCTTTATTTAGAGCTTTAATTTCTTTCAACAATGTTTCATAGTTCCTAGAATATAAGTTTTGTCCTTAAATTTATTCATAAGTATTTTAATCTATTTGATGGTACTATGAATAAAATTACTTTTTAAAATTTTGGGGGTGGGGGCTATTGCAGATGTTTAGGAATATCATTGATTTTTGAATAAGCAACCTTGATGAACTTGTTTATTAGTTCCAGTTATTTTTTAGTGGGTTCATTAGGATTATATATATATATATATATATATACACACATATATATATATATATTCCCATCATCTGTGAACAGAGATAGTTTTACTTCTTTCTTTTTAATCTGGATTCCTTTTGATTCTTTTTCTTACCTAATTGCCCTGGCAAGAACCTCCTGTACAGTGTTGAAAAGAAGTTACAAGAACAAACATCTTGTCTTCTTTGATCTTAGGGAAATGCATCCGGTCTTTCCCTCTTTAAGTATTAGTTGTGTTGTGGGTGCCCATTATTGGATTAAGAAATTCCTTTCTATTTCTAGTTTGTTGAGTATTTTTATCATGCAAAGGTATTCAGTTTTGTCAAATGCTTGTTCTGCATTTATTCAGATCATTATGTAATTTTTACTTTTATTCTTTTAATATAATGGATTACATTAATTGATTTTTGGCAATTAAACCAACCTTTCATCCCTAGGATAAATCCCACTTGGTCATGGTGTATAATTTTTTTATATGTTACTATATTCAGTTTGCTAGTACTTTCTTGAGTTTTTTGCATTCATATTCATAAGAAATAGACTGATCTGTAGTTTTCTGCTGTTGTCTTTGTCTGGCTTTGGTATGAAGATAATATGGGCCTCATAAAATGAGTTAGGAGGTATTTCTTCCTCTTGTATGAATCATCTGGTTGTGGGCTTTTCTTTGTGGATAGTTTTTCATTACTGATTCAGTCTCTTTACTTGTTTTAGGTCTATATAGATGACTTATTTCTTGTCATTTTCAGTAATTTGTATCTTTCATTGAATTTGTCCATTTTATCTTAGTTATCTAATTTTTTGACATACAACTGGTCATAGTATTTTTTTTAAATTTTTATTGTTCAAGTACATTTGTCTCCATTTACCCGCCACCACTTTCCCCTTCCCCTCCCACCCCCACCTCCCTACTAGTCATAATATTCTTTTATAATCTTTCTAATTTCCATGAAGTTGGTAGCAATGTCCTCTCTTTGATTTCTGATTCCAGTAATTTTAATCTGTTCTCTTATTTCCTTTGTCAGATAAGCTACAGGTTTGTTTTGCTGATCAAGTTTTAAAAGCTAGAACCAGCTTTTGGGTTCATTGATTTTCTCTATTGTTTTTCTAGTCTCTTTTATTAATTTATGTTTTAATCTTTACTATTTCCTTCCTTTTATTCACTTTAGGTTTAGTCTGTTCTCTTCTTTAGTGTCTTAATGTTGGAGTTTAGAATATTGATTTGAGATGTTTGCTTTTCCTTAACACACGCCTTTACACTATAATTGCCCTCTAAGTACTGCTTTATCTGTGTCCCATAAGTTTTGGAATGTTGTATTTTTATTTATCTCAAAATATTTTCTAAGTTTCTTTTTAATTTTTTTTCTTTAACTAGGTGATTATTCAAGTGGATGTTGCTTAACTTCTACATAAATATTTGTTTCCCAGATTTCTCTTGTTATTGATTTCTGATTTCATTCTATTATGTTAGAGAACATAATATAATATTTTTATCCTTTTAATTTATTGAAGGTTGTTTTTGGTCTAGCACACGATCTCTCCTGGAAAATGTTCCATGTGTACTTGAGAAGAATCTATATTCTGTTGTTGTTGGGTGGAGTGTCCAATATATGTCTGTTATGTCTAGTGGTTTAAAGTACTGTTCAAGTCTTCCATTTACTTACTCATCTCTTATCTAGTTCTATCTACTGTTACTGAAAGTGGAGCATTAACTTTTATTGCTGAATTACCTTTTTTATTTTTGTTTTTCTTTCATATATTTTGGTGCTCTGTTGTTAGGTATATGCATGTTTACAATTGTTATATCACCTTAATGAATTAGCCCTTTTATTATTATTACATATTCTTTTTTATCTTTAGTAACATTCTTTTTGTTTCAAAGTCTAATTCGTCTCATAACTATAGCCCCTCTAGTTTTTTGTGGTTGCTCTTTTCATAATATATATTTTTCCATCCTTTTACTTGTAATCTATTTGTGTCTTTGAATCCAAAGGTTATCTCCTGTAGACAGCACATAGTCGGATCTTTTTTTTTTAATTTTTTAAAAACTCCTATCAGCATTTATTTTATATTGAATTTACACCCAGGCCATAAGTTTTTGTTTCTTCAGTTTCTACTGGGATATCATAAAAATATGGAACACTTTACAAGTGTGTGTGTCATCCTTACACAGGAGTCATGATAATCCTCTCTGTATTATTCCAGTTTCAGTATATGTGCTGCCTAAACAAACACAGATCATGTTTCTGTAATTCAATCAGACAACCTTTTGATTGGTTGGATTGTTTCATTCATTCACATTTAATGTAAATTTCTTATATTACTGATATAGCTGTATTTATGTCTGCGTTTATTTTTTGTTTTCTGTGTCTCAGGTTGTTTTTGCTTCTCTATTATTCTGTCTTTTGCATTGAATGTTTTATAATTAGGCATTGTAATTTCATTAATTATTTTTTCAGTATTTTTGAGGGTTTTTTTGTTTTTAAGAAATTGCTCTCATGTTTACCTATCTTAATTTATCAGATTCAGCTTCAGGTTTACACTAGCTTAATTCCAGTAATATGTAGAAACATATCTCCTATGTAGTGCTATTCTCACTTCCCCATTTTGTGGTATTATTGTTATACATATGTTGCAAATCTAATAATGCATTAATAGAATTCTCTACCATTTCCTGTTTCCTTAGTTCATAACAGCTTCACTCCCACCTACCTCCTTTGTGTTGTTATTAGAAAATATACATATATTTCTACATGCTGTATACTCTACAATTATATATTATTTTATATAATTGCTTTTGCTATCAGTCAAAACTTTGCATATTTATTGTCTTTTATACTTACAAAGTGGCCTTTATGTAATTATAGCGCTGTTTGTGGGTGTGGATTTGAATTATCATCTAAGATCACTCACTTTCTCAATAATTTCCTTTAGTATTTCTTCTGAAGTGGGTCTGCTAACAACAAATCCTTTCAGTTTTTGTTTATCTGGGATAGTATTTGTTTCATCTTTATTTCTAAATGACAGCTTTTCTGATATAGAATTTCTTTGAGGACTTTGAATGTACTACCTTACTATTCCATGGCCTTCATTGTTTCTGCTAAGTTAGTTGTTAACCTTTTGGGGTTCCTTTATAAGTGACACATTGTTTTTCTACTGTCAAAAGATAACTGAGGCATATTAAAAATTTGAAGGCCCAGGTGTGGCTCAGTTGGTTGGAACATCGTCCCATAATTGGAAGGGTGCAGGTTTGGTTCCCGGTCAGGCCACATTCCTAGGTCGGGGTTCAGTCCCTGGTCCAGGCATGGGCGTATGCAACCCTCCATCTTGGTGCACATGATTCCTGGTCTGGGTGCCAGTCCCTGGTCTGGGTGTGTACAGGAGGCAGACGATTGATGTTTCTCTCCCTTCCTCTTCCTTCTCTCTCTAAAAAACTTTAAAAAAAAAAAACAATGAAAAAAAATGTCCTCGGATGAAGATAAAAAAAAAAATTAAGAGTTTATTTGAGCAAAAATCTATTCAAATTGGGCAGTACCAAACCAGAAATGGTTAGGAGCTGACAGGAGCCAGGAGAAAGGCTTTTATAGAGAAGGGGCAGAGCAAAGCAAGGAAATTACTTGATGAGCTATAGCTTTAGCATTTGCATTATTTGGAAAAGCTTAGTTGTTTGTTATGATTATTTTTTCTCAGGATTTGATTTCTTAATGTTAAGGGATTTGTAGGCTTAGATTTTGGTTATATATACTACTAAGGCATTAAAGTCACATTATTCTAATGGCCTCCTTATTTAATTAATACTACTTTCCAGATTTCTAGATTACTACTACCAAGATTAGTAATTTTTCAAAAATATTTTTACTCTGATGTGTCTGTTTTGGGGTCTCTTTTTGTCATCCTATTTGGAGTTCATCGAACTTCTTGAATATGAACATTATTGTTTTTCAGTAAGCATGGAAGGTTTTGAAAAACCATTTTTTTTTTCCTTCTCCTTTCTCCTCCTTTTGGTACTCCCTTTATACATACATTGATAGAGTTAATGATCTCTCATATATTCCCCCAAGGCTCTTCTCTTTTTTTCTTTATTCCTTTTTCTCTCTGATCTTTGGCTTGCATAATCTCAATCACTGTGTCTTCAAGTTTATTAATTTTTTCTTATGCCAGTTCAAATCTATTCTTGAACCCCTCTAGTGATTTTTTTTCCCCCATCAATGTATGTCTAATAGCCACTTTGAAATCTTTTTCTGTAAGTTTAACACCTGGTCACTCTCATGGATAGTTTCTGTTGTTGCTTTTTTCAGGATGTATATATAGGTCATACTATCATACTTTCCTTTTTCTTTGAATACCTTGTTATATTTTTTGGAAACTGACTGGATTATATGACTGAAGCCTATATTCTCCATTATCAGCCCCCCCCACCCGCAGTGTTAAGCCTCTTGCACTGTTCCTCAAGGAGGCGCAGCTTTGGGTATGCCCTCAGTCACCCTGGGATGATGGTGGTACTGGTCCCACTCTCTTTCTCTTATTTCTTGATTACACCCAGCTGTTAAACTCCACTAATTTCTGACCAATTGCTTAGTTGTTTTCAGCAAGGCCCTGGGACATAAATTTCTCTACAAACTAATAATAGTAGATTGTAGTTCCTTTGATGGGGTAGTTTCTGAGGTCAGTGTTTGATAGTTGTTCTGACTCCAGGAAGACTCCTTTCTACTCTTTTATTCCCTGGTTCTCTCCTATGAACTGTTTTACAATCTAAACTGTATCTTCATTAGATTCATGAATCTCCTTCCAATTGCCTTTATCAAAACCTCTACTGTTCTTGTACATCAATGCAAGTACCCTTCACACTGTTTGGAATGAAGTCAGTTCCTTTGGGAAGAGATTAGGAGCTAAAGGCTTTATGGCCTGTTTGTTCCACAGGCAAAGTCTCTGTGCCAGGGCTCTGGAATTGGGGGTGGAAACTACAGCAAGCTTCTCCTGAGTGAAACCCCCCCACTGTAGTAGCTAAACATGTGTTAAAGGGGTCCTTCTTAGCTTACCTTTCCTCGTATGGAATTACCATGCCTTATGGACTGGGAGAAGGATTCTGGAGCTCCCAGTGTTCTAGGGGAATTAGGCCTGAGGTAGAGCCTTTGTTCCACTTGTCTGAGACGTAGCCTCACCATCAGGCATCTGGGGCAGGAAGAGAAGTAGGAAGGTTTTGCTCCTTCCAGAAAGAAAGCCCTCTTTCCAAGAGGACAAAGTTCCCTTTCTACCCAGCATCAGTCCAGTTTGGAAACTCTGCCTAGCTGAGCTGGGTGGAAGGAAGGAAGGAACCATTTTGGTTCAAATACCACAGATCCTGTCTTTTTTTTTTTTTTTTACTGAATTTTCATAAATTTTCTTGAATAGATGTTTCTTTTCTTTTTTTGCTTTTAAGGCAGTTTCCAGAGGCTTCAGATGATTGGGGCTTTTTAATAGTTTTCACTAATTTCTGGGGAACAGAACAGTGGAACTTCTCATTCCAGAAATCAAACTCCTATCTGCCTCCACATGATTGTAAGATCTTTCTTTTTAGGAAGGTAGTTAGCCTTTAAGAACCCTTCAAATCAGCAAATGGCAGTAATTTATTTCTTTCTAACAGATCTGGAATGTAGATATTCATAAGTTTTAATGAGAGTTAAGGAATACAAAACATCAGCGATAAGATCTTCCTAAGTAAGACCCAGGGTTTAAAGGGAACCTGTATCTTCTTAATCCTCAGATTGATATACTAATTATGAAATGTACTCTAAGCAATAAATTATACCTAACTTTGAAATGATGTTAATTGTAGAATGTCTATTTATTTTCTGTTGTGCTGGTTAGGATTTCTTATACAGATGTTTTATAGACATTATTTTTAAAGCACCCACTCCAAACACACTTGTTTTACCTATTTTCTCTGTCTCTGGAGTGGTTTTACTACTATGAAGCTGGTACTTGATGGAAGAAAAGAAGAAAATAACTTTTCCTTATCATCAAAAATAAATGTCTTGAGTCCCATTTTTCTACTCAGAGCTGTGTTGATAATACAGAAAAATCTAAGACATGATTGTTCTTCAAGATATTTATTATCTAATGGGTAAATTTGTATTTTAAAACATAAATCACAAGGCATGATTTTGATTCTTTCAAGAAGGAAGAGGATCTGAGATGTGATTATGGGCTTGAAGAAAGAAAAAAGGTTTACAATAATCACATATTTAATAAATTGTGGTAACAAAATGAGAAGCTGTATGGTATAGTGATAAAGAAGTATGCAGGCTCAGGAGCCAGGCTTCCTGGCAACTTACTAAACTTTTTTGTGATTCTGTTTCTTTATATAATGAGAAAAGGAACTGAGCAACTACAAGGGATGGTTGGAAACCAAATGAAATAATATTTTAGAAAATGGCTAGTCATTATCTTCATCATCGTCTTGATCATTGGTTTGTTGATCCCAATGATTTTTAGACAGTATGAATTTGTAGTGTCTTCAAATGGCAAGGAGGTCAACATATATCTAGTATTAGTGTTTCACTAAACTTTTAAAAATTGAAATATAAGTTCATAAAAGTTCAACTCAGTGAATTGTCACAAAGTGACCCCACTTCTGTAGCCAGTGCCCAGATTAAAAATGAAACCACATGCCCAGACCAATGTGGCTTAGTTGGTTGGGTTTCATTCCGTGAAATGAGGAATCACTAGATTGATTCCTGGTCAAGGCACATGCCTGAGTTGAGGGCCCAGTCCTGTTTGGTGTGCATGCAAGAGGCTGCTGATCATTGTTTTTCTGACACATCAGTGTTTCTCCACACATTGATGTTTCTCTCCCTCTTTCTCCCTTTCTTCCCCCTCTCTAAAAATAAATAAAATCTTCTAAAAAAAAAATGAAACCATACAAAAATTCTGCTCATGTATTTTTCCAGTCACTCCCCATTCCCCAGACGTGGCCACCATCCTGTCTTTATCACCGTAGATTAGCTTTGCTTATCTATTTTTTCTGTTATATTGTCTCTTTTTCTAATTGACTTTTGGTAACAACATACAGGGTGTGGAAAAAGTAGGTTTGCATTTGTTTTAATACAGTAATTAATAATAATACAAGAGTAAACTGTATTCACAACTGTAAACCACTTTTGCCTCATTCTGTATGTTCTGGTATTCTAGATGTGAGTTCTTTGTATTGTAAATATCTTTTTTCTGTACCTTTGCATATGTGTAATGGTGTCCAT